CCAAGTATAAGTTAATTGAAAATTAAATGATGTTTGATAATAAAAATACAATTAAAATCTTATCTTCACAACATTGATTAACATTGAAACTACATAGAATTTGATTAACATTATATGTTTTAGAGTGTTTAAGGAAGACTGGAATAAGTCATGAAGTGGGATGGAGAAGTGAAAATCTAAGGTTGGAAATTTGTTTTGAGGGTGACGTGACACCTGTTGCGGATCTATGGTTTATAGTTTTGATGATAACAAACATTCCTTATTTTCCTACGATTGCCTTTTATACTAACGTTTCAGGACCACACGATCAGACTACTATTTGGAACCAACTCAAGATTGGGTAGACTAGGTCTATGTCAGATTGTAATCTTTTTCCTTTCTTGAGTTTGTTGTATTTGGTGTGGCTATAACTTAGTAGAAATTCTCTTGCTCCCTATATGATTTCTGTTTTTGGTAACATCGTCCGGGACGATATAGATATCGGCCTGGATGATCTGTCCAAAATCAAAAACCCTAATTAGGGCATCCTCATTAAGGCAGTCGTCAACTGATCGGCTAGGACGATATGTTCAATTAAGAAAGAATCAGCCACCATGATCAGATTAGGCATTAAATCTTTTAGGAAATCGGCCAGGACGATATATCCATCATCTAGGGCGATCTAACTCAATTATGCCTAAAATGATCTGGTATCTTTGGAAACAATTAATGGCTGATTGATACGATCAGATCGGCCAGGACGATCGTGAGATCGGCCAGGACGATCGTGAGATCGGCCGGGACGATAGCCTGGATGATTGACATCGGCCAGACTCTATTCAGGGCGATGATCAGGACTATTGAACTAGTTTTAAACTAATCGTCCCGGACGATCGTGAGATCGGCCGTAACGATGTAACCAAGTTTCTTCTGATCGTCCCATATCGTCCTAGGCTAATGAGCTTAATTTGTACTGATCAGCCAGGACGATATACCTATCGTCCTGGACCATAATGTCAGCAACTTGCATTAATGAGCTCATTTTGAGAGCTTCTATTTATGCTATGGCAAGACACTTTGTAAGTGTCTTTGGCAGCCATTAGAGCTTCGTTCTTATGGCGGAGACTTGAAGAGAGAGCTTGAAAGGGAGAGAGGAAAGGGTGGAGTTTGAGAGGGAGAAGATCCTGTGAGACTTTGGGAATATAAACACTACTGAAGGTTATTCGATTACACGACCTCCACTGTTTGACAACTTACCTTTTGATTTCTGGAAAACCCGCATGTCTACTTTTTTGCAATCAACTGACTATCGCATGTGGATGCTTATTCAAGAAGGTTATTCTCCACCTTCTCGAGAAATTAATGGTGTTAAAACTAAAATTTTTTTTACTGAATGGACTTTCGATGAATGTGATTTAGCTCAATTAAATGCAAAGTCTTTAAATTATTTTTTTTGTGCTTTAAATTCTGATGATTTTTTGTTAGTTTCTACATGCACTACTAGTAAGGAAGTTTGGGATAAATTGCACATTATATACGAAGGCTCTAATGAAATCAAGCAATCAAAGTTGAATATTTTAATGCATGATTTTGAAATGTTTTCTATGAAATATTTTGAAACGATCTTAGACATGTATACAAGGTTTATTTAAATTACTACATCATTGCATGCCTTAGGAAAAGATTTTTTAAATTTTGAAAAAGTTAACAAAATTCTTCGTTGTTTACTTGAAAAATTCGATGCAATTGTAGTTGCTATTTGTGAATCAAAAAATTTGAATGATTATTCTATTGATAATTTGATTGGCTCACTCATTGCCTACGAGCATTGGTTGGATCAAAAACTTTTGGATGCAGGTGAAACGATCGTTCTAAATGCTGAAGATATGGAAAAAGGAAGCTTAGTTGGTGATGATAGCAATGAATTGTCAAGCAAATCACAAAACTCACCAATGCATAAGCAAAAGTAGAAGAAAGGTAAAAGTGGTAAGGATGTTCATATTTCCACTAACATTATTTGCTTTCGATGTAGGAAACCTGGACATATGAAGAATACGTGCCCTAATGTAAGAATTCTTCCTACAAAAGAAAAGGGCAAGGCAAAGCTAAAGTTTAATTGGGAAAATAATGAAAAACACAAAATCTCATGGGCAGACATAGTTTCTGAAGAATCGGACCAGGAAAGAGATAATGGTTAAAAGCCTATCGTGTTTTTTGTTTTTGTTTTTAGTTTTTTTTTGTTTTTATCTTGTATTGTTTCATTTCTGTTTATTCTTTTCTTTTGTTGTTTTCATAAAAAAAAAATTTTCCGATCAACACACACATTCACTTTTCTAAAAAAGAAAAATCTACTTCCTATTTTTCTTGAAATCTTTGGAAAGTTGCTATTGACTTCTCTAAAAACAGTCAAAGGAAGGAAACTCTTGTTTTTTTTTTCAATCTCTATTTCCTAAAATAGGTTATTCTACTTTTGATTTAAAAGCTTTTTCATCTTTTAAATTGGTTTTTGAAACAAGAATTTTTTTTTATCTCCCTACGTTTTATTTATCGCATATGAATATTTTGCAAGTCGTTGAATCTAACTCAAAATTTTCTTAATCAAGAAATTCGCTTTGTCACTAAGATGGGTTTTTCTTTGTTTTTTAAGATTAAGAAAGGTAGCAAATTCAAAAAATTGGCCAATGATGCCAAAAATAAAAGATGCGCAAAGTACCAAATTGAAAAATATAGAATACACAAAGTGTATCAAAAGATGCGCAGTGCGCCAACCAATTGTCAAGAGGCATAAAATGAGCCCACAAAAAGTTAATGCTTATCATTCTTGTACTTCTTAAAAAGCTTAAGAACACCCTTGATACTTTCGATACTTGACTTTGAAAATCTTGATTCTTGATTCAACAATTCGTGCATTGATCTTCTATTAGATATATTTTATGGTAGGAGTTTTTGAAAAATGATTATTTCTTTCTCTAATTTGTTTTTTTATTTAGATATTAAATTAAAAAGTTTTTAAGCCTTTTTAAAGAACTTGAGTTTGGATTATCGAATCTTGAATTTCTAACATTTACTGGGCTATGCGTTGTCAATCCAATTCTACTAAAATTTAGATTAAAACTAAGAGGTAACTTTATCATTTTAAGATTTTTTTTACTAGATTTGAAAGTTTCTTTTTGTTTTCTGTGCCCTCTCTCTTTTTGATAATGTCAAAGGGGGAGAACGTACTTGGAATGTGTATTGGGCCTTTTAGGTTGTCTTTTGAAAATGAGATATGATTAGAATAATATTCCTCTCCCATATTTTAATTTCCAAAAAAAAAAAAAAGAACATGATTACTCTTTTCTAAATCTTGAAAGAATGCGTAATTTGGTGATTGTTACCTTCTAAAGTAATGGAGAGGTATTAGTCATACCTTTTCGGTACGACTAATAACGCTTCATAGCTGACGAGGGCGGGTGACCGGTGGCAACCCGGAGTTAATTTGTGTTGTATTGAAATTCAACAAAAAACATAAGAGTTTTGAATACATTAAAAATGAACAAGTAAATGAATTAAAAATTCACCAGAAATTTAATCCACATTCATTTTTATTCAAACCAAACAACAAAATTTCAAGAACTCATGCATTTGGAATACTTTACACTCCCAAGGGATGTAAAGTATTCAATTCACTTGTCACAAAAAAATAAAGTAGTAGCTAGTTCGTGATAATATCATCTTCAATAATAGTAATTATAAATCAATATCACATTTACATCCCTAATTTACAATTGAATCATCATTTTCTCTCATCATATGAAAAATACACTACATATAATCATATGTATATATTACATTTTACCTTATGTTCCCTATAATATTCAAGCCCAAACATTAGCCATCAATCAATAAGCTAAGCATGTTAGCTAATCCGAGTAAGCAATATATATATATATATATAATCTAGCTTGTAGAAACTCAATAACTTCTTTTCATTCATATTTATTAAATCATTCTAGTTTGTATAATATAGCTCTCATTTTCATGCGTTATATAGATAATATATCACATCATGTATCAATAAATAAATCATGATTATTTATATAAGTCATATGTAGCAAATGAAATCATTTTCATCGTATGAGAGTGCATGATTGGGTTATATAAAAAGTCAGGAGAGATCATTGCAATACATATGTAAAGTATATAAGCTTACATGTAAAATATCATAGAGTTTGTTGGGACCCATGTTGACATCATTTTGTATGAGGTCAATTTCCTTGAACTGATCCAAGTGCTTAGGTTTTCTTAGCCTAGTATAGATATATCCATTGGTAGGATTCCCGTTATATGGATTCCCAATGACGTAGCACTATCTCGGCCTTGTAATTCCACCAATATTAAATTAGAATTCATCCAAATTAAATTTAATTCCGAACATAATTGTGTAATCGTACATTGTTGAGTTTATTTGGCTTGATTCAAGTTCAATTTGAACTCGACATTTTCGATAGACACTACATAACTCGTCTCAGGCTAATTGCAATTAATTGGATGCTAGATAATGTCAATCGAAGCAACTCCAAACTACATTCATTAAATTCCATATTAATCAGGCTCCATTTAATTAAATTAACATTCATTAAACTAAAATTACTTAATTTTAATGCAATTCAAACTAAATCAAAGTGCTTTAAGATGATCAAAATCAAATCAATGTGGATCGATGCAAATCGATGCTACTCCAAATAAAATTGACTAGCCATAAGTTTAATTTAACAACATCGCTTCGATTAATCCAAACTAACTCATCTCGAATCCATCAAAATAAAATCAGCATTAATTGGGTTAAATGATTAAGTTGAACAATCCTAATTTAAATATAAATAAAATTTGGTAAGTTAAATTTTTTTAATTAATCAGTAATGTCTTTTAAAATGCAATATTTAATGACATCCATGGATTAAAAAAGATTTGGTGGCAATTTTAAAATCGTTCGAGGGGCAGTTTAGGCACCTTTCCAGGTGATTAGAGGAAGTAGTTAAAGCCGGTTCAAGCATCCGATTTCTAGGCCTTGTCATGGCAGTTCATCAAAACCCCGCTCCGTCCGCCTCCTATTGTGTGAAGCTTGCCCCCTCACTCATTCCAGTGATTCCCCATCCTCATGTCCGATCCTAAGGTACATAGAAGCTTGTCGCTGGTCCTAACCCTGTATGTGCCTCCCTTCTTATGTGATTTGCTGAGCCAAGAGCAACATGAAGTGGTAAACCCCTCTTCCTCTTTCTTATCTTCTTGCTCTATCTCCATCTTCTTCTTCTTCTTCTTACTACTACTTCCTTATATTTTCTTTGTTTGAATCTGGATGACTGGAGTTCAGCAATGATTTGAGATTTTATGATTATTTGAATTCTGGAAAGAGTTTTTCTTGAGGATTAAAATAACCCTAACTATTTTTCCTCTTGGCATTCACTTGATTTTATTTTCCCAAATCAGATGGTTGGTTCTCACTCTAATATGGCTAAATTATATATATATATATA